CAATCAATGAAACTATCGAGTTCATCTGCCAGCACTTTGGGATTCGGAGTTCAGATGCCAACAGCTAACGTGTACTACAGATGCACGATTTCATTTTGGAAACCCATTTACAACCAGATAGGTGGTGTAGCTATTGGCAGAATTTCTTCGTATAGCTATTTCCAGACATTTTGTGAAACTATTCATGCAATCTACTTTCAGCGTAATGAATATTGGCATTTGGCTTCGTCTTTATTTGTACTTCTCTGAAGAGAAGCTAGGATAGTTTTAATACTGTCCGACTTAGTATTTCTCAGTTAATATTTCCTCCTAAATCGCGTAATAAAGTCAAGAGGTTAAACTACTCTCCATATTGATAGGAGACAGGAAGGTTGTCATTGCTTATTCGTGTATTGGTTTGCAGAAGATTGAAGAAATACGATCACAAGTACTGTTGTACATTGTTAACGATTATTCAAAAACTTCAGCACTGACTAACTGGCGTAAGACTGTTTCGTATTAACCTTCCGTTGTCTGTTGCTATGCTTCGGTTACAGTGCACACTATTCTGTATTTGAGACTTAGTCATCTGAAAGTAGAGATATGTTGAGGACCTTTGAAATCTAGATATTTAGAAAACAGAAAGGTTGAGCAGCAAAGAAATATTTACTTTTAAGTTAGATCCTCATCTCTGGCTCTACTCTAATAAATATAGCATTTGTATTACAATACACTACAGTTTACCAATCAAGTGTCACTGATATGTTTGTTAACAATAATTAGTTAGTGTCAAAATGTCAAGCAGTGGGGTGATAATTAACGAAGAAAATTAATACACAATTAAAAGGTAGAAATGGTTAGAATAAACTAATTTCACGAGGATAACACGTAATCAAAGATGAAGTGGACAAAATAAATGAAAAATAAAATAAATAATTTAGACAATTATAGTTTTTATAGGTTTCGGGAGAGGGGACGACGTCGTCCTGTTTATGCATTCTTGTGACGATGGACACGGTGGGGAAAAATGCTGTACAAATTTCTTCTCAACACACACAGAATTTGGCTTATTCACGTGGATTCATATTGCTTCAGTTGTCTGTAGAAGACAAACTCGCAGGGCAAAATTAAGATTAGTAGGAATTCGGTAAATAATTTTAAATGCAGTATTAACATCAACCTTATGCTCACTATCTACAAAATTTGCTAAAACAGAGCTGTGAATAGATCTTGTTTGTCCTCCCCTGCTTAACCATGTTGGATGATGTTCGGAAATACGATGATGAACCTGCCTAATTGTGCGCCAAAAACAGCTGGCTCCGCAGCTGCAGCCAAAATGGTAGATACACATAGAAGAGGTAAATTCAGGTAATTTATCCTTATTTCTCGAAGGTAGAGTAGGGGTGGTTGTGAAGAGACAGCCTACCTCTTCTGCATAATAAGCTCTTTTAACTGCATTCTTCAGTCGTTGTGTTATTATTTCGCTGATGTTGTCACCGAGGAACTGAAGTTTTATGAACAGTGGTTTTTTCGGAACTGCTGTCATAGTGACTGTCCTAGGTGATGAATTCATATTTTTCTCAATGAATTTATTTGGATAACCATTTTTTCTAAGTAATTCTCTAATAATCATCTTAAGCTCCACATTAAGGTAGTCATCTCAAGAGATTAGCTTGGCTCTATGAACCAGACATTTTACCAGGTTACGCGTTTATATTTCAAAGGTACAAAACTCAAAAAATGAGTGTATCGACCTGTTGCTGGAGGATATTCGACAGATGGTTTAAGCTTAGAATTACAGAAAACAAATCAATGCTCATCTACTCTCTAGTTAAAGCTTGCAGCTTTCATATTCATCAACAATGTCAACTGTAGACTTTTAGTTTACATAATCAGCATACCGCTGTTGTGTAAACCGGCGACAACCCCATTGGACAATTGAATACGGCCATCCGTGGTCACATTTAAAGAGTCGGAACTTCAAAAAACATGTAAACCTTAGCATACACCATAGGAAAATACTCTCCCCTTACTGAACCTGAAGGCATTTGATTCTTATGGTGATGAGCTGTCTTTCACTGAAGACCAAATATCATTCGACCGAATACTAATACACATGCGGACCATTACAGAAGTTATATTGCCTGCACAATCAACATTGTGGTCTGCGGAGTCATATGCACTTATCCCCTAAACTCCAGTGAAAACACCTTTGGATAAAATAGGATTTTTAATTTTTACGAGTTGATCACGGACTGATATCAGTTAGAGAACCATCGAAAACCAAGGAGTACTTGACAGCTGCCGTTTCATCCCAGTTCGGGAATCATTGGCAGTACGCACTAACTGTGATTCGAACCCAGCATCTTCCTACTACAAAGCAAGCTCGTATACCATTCAGTGACTGGGACATAATTCAGTGGCTCATGAATCGGGTCACAGTGGCTGAATGGCATATATATAGATTTTTAATTTGTTTTGGTTTTAATTAAGATAATTATTCCCCTTGATAAATTTTAATAGGGAACTAACAAGACAAATTTCCCGAGATGATATCATTACGTAGTTTCTTTACAACCGCTTTACAACTAACATGATTAACAATAATAAAATAAAATAAAGTTCATGACAATTACTCAGTTAAATAAAAAAAGTACATACTATTGACCAATCATATTTAGATAGGTCATGTTGTCCATGGTAGGCAATGGAAGATTGAAGTCTATTGTTTTTTGTACAAACAGTTTAGGCTGTATGTGACAAAACCCCCAAAGTGCTACCATCACCTTCAATAACAAAACTTGAACTAGAGGTATGTGAAATAATTGTGAAAAAGTCTTCAATATTGATTATGTGACCTGACATTAATAAGTGTTTTGCAATAGATGACGCTGGATTTCTATTAAGATTAATCGCTTTGGGACTTTCTATATGATTAAGTAGCCATTTTGGAACATGTTCTTTTCGACGACATTGGAACATTGTGTTGGTTCTACCTATATAGGCGTCAATGCAGCTGCAGGTGAACTTGTAGATACAGTTTAAAGTAGAGTCCACAGAATTTCGTCCTTTAATCGTAGATACAGGGATGGAAAATGTTCGGCAAGTGAGAAAAAGAGATGCGGTATAGAATCTGTTTGTTTTAATTATTCAGAATACGTAAGGATTGTGTATATGTTCACTGGCTTGTAAATCTAAGTCATCGATTCAAGTCGTATTTCAGTACTACTCCAGCTGAGCAACAAGTCCTGACTGTTAGCATAGTCATCAATTGACTGCAATTACCACCAGAGGGTGTTATGCTCAAGTGGCTAAATGAATGAAGTTACAGAATGTCAGCATCATCGCAGTAAATACAGCGAATTAGGTTAAAGTTAGTTTCCCTTACTTGTTAATAGCGTTAAATACAACAACGACGCTAGTAACGGACATGGAAACCTTCAGTTACACTTTAGTTGTAATGTTCAAAAAGGAAGTGTAAGTCCACATCTGCATTCTTTCAGTGTGCGTGCTCTGTCCGCCCTTCTATATGAGTTGGAAATTTGGCGTGTAGACGAAAAGAATTTCCAACCGGTTGCAGACTTCTTTGAACAGCTGCCCACTTCGCTGACACCAAACAGAAGATTGAATAGTCGGAAAGAATTATAAACAAGAAATTGTGACAACAAACTAACCAGCAAGAGCCGATCACTTAACAAATATGAAGAAGAAAATGGAAATGGATTGATGGCGCATACATTGACGAGACGGTAGAATGACATCTGATGCAATGCAGGAGGTCATTCGAGTCCTATGGTGACATATAGGAGATAATTTGGTAAGAAGGGGATGAGAGATGATTTGCAGCCGAGGTACAAACTGAAGAGGACGACGAAAGATAGGATAAAGTTAACAAGTGTTGTTAAAGCCCTATGTTACACTCTGAACCCAAGGTAACAGTAATATAATAGTGATGAAAACTGGTATACGTTTTTCTGCCGGTTAGCCTGGTGCAGTGAGAACCGTCAAACGCCTCTTCATAATGTGTGGCATATTTGCGGGCATTCGCTTATCAAAGAAGCTCAACTCTTAATGCTACTCATCTTGAGAGCTGAGTTGGTGTGCTCTCGCGAACAACGTTCCATGGCGTCCTATTTTGTACTTTTCTGAACAGAAACTAGCATAATTTGAATACTGTCCAGTTCAGTTATTTTTGAGGTATATTCCTTTCTAGATTGCGCAATCACCTCATTTTTTCTCAGAGAAAACGTCAGAAAGTGGAACTTACCTGGGTTTTCTTATTCTGTTTTGCTGAAAACTTGTAAAGATTTGAAATAATTCGTAAGCGGGTAACATATGCCCACAAATGACAAGTGTTTTATTTTTCATCATGAAGAGGTGACATTAGTTAGAGAACCATTGGAAAACCCGCTGGGATTAGAGGAAAGCTGTTTCGTCGTAGTTTGGGACACTTCATCAGCGAACACCCACCGCCAGGGTTAGAAACTAGGACCTTTTAGTCACAAGGTGAGCTCCTAGACCAGTAGGGTGTGAGGACAAGTACTCGCCGAAGACACTGAATAGCGGTCGCACCATATCATGAATTGGTAGAAGTTAGAATTCATGGACCATTAGACAGAGTCCCGGCGGTTCAATTGTCTACGAGGTCACCTCGCAACCAGTTCCTGGGCTCGGACCACGTTGGATATGGCCTGATGAAGAGTTCCAAACAAGGCTGACAAAACAGCTGTCCATTACTCCTAGCTGGTTCTCTTATGTTCCTCTCATCTGTTTCAGCTCATGATGAAATCTTGTTAGCCAACAACGATTTATTGATTTTCAATCGATTTTGATCCATCCTAAAAATCTGTTTCTTCTACATAATTTAGAGTGTGCCTTCCATGTATCAGATGTAAAAAAATGCCATGTGAAGCATTTTTACATTCCGAAAAACGTGAAAAAATCAATTCAGTTTTAATCAAACTGTAAACAAAAGAATTATTTATACGTGCACTGCCTCATAAATTATGATCACATACGGAGAGTATACTCACGAAAATAACACGAAAAGCATAAAATATGCAGACTAATACATCATAAATATACCATATGACTTCGTAAAGGTATATATATATATATATATGTAGAGAGAGACATCCTGAGAATATTGTTTTCTCTCAAAATTAGGCAACTCATTACAATGAGGCATCTGTGGATTATTGCTGTTCTCCTACTCATATACTTGCACCGACCTGTATTTTCAGAAAGTAAGTTAGTGCAGTTAAATCACGTCTACTATTATTTGTCCTAAGATTACACATATATATATTAACATATGTGCATATATATGATTGCCTTTCATATTCATAATTTAGATAGTTACTCTGAAAAGCCTAAGAGTTAACTGTAGGACTGAATGCTTCAGGTATCTGTTTCACAATCGCTAGGATTTATGCAAATATACTTGTGAAAAAAGAGTAGACGTTCAGCAAAGAGACTCTTTTCAACGAATTCATTCACATAGCTGTTTTTTGTGTGTACCAGAGGTTTGTCAAGCTTAGATAATTAATGAGGTAATACAAGAATGATCCAATATAGAAACAAGGTTAATTGGACAGCAACTAAAGTAAGATTGAGTTACTAAGTTAGATGACGCAATATAACTGTCTAAAACGTTTCAGGCAATTAGTCCCTTTCATAAATTTTGATAACGTTATTAAAGACGGAGATTATCTGGAAACCAGTGTGATGTATTTACGCTATACATTTCCAACAATCTGATCACACATTTGCTTATCGAGTCACTATATATGAAAAAGTTAAGTTAAACAAAGTGATAAAAAGGATTGAAGAATGATGACCTTGAAGGCTTAGTTAACATCAATCTTACAGTTCATCGCGATTAGATGCTTTGCTATAGACGGAGTTGGAAATCTGACACATGCATCTGTTGGTTCTGCACGATTCATTTGTTCTTCTAACCATTTTGTGAAAAGCTCGCTCTCTCCCGCGCTCATATGCAAATCGCGATTACTCCTCCCTATGTGTGTGTGACCACACACACACACACACGCGAATTGGTAAATTATGTGGGATTAGACATAATCACTTGTGCACTTTTGAGGTTTGCAGTGGAGCATATTTTTAGCTTTTTCGACAATTACAAGCTGGTCTGTCTAATAGGTTCTACGCATGATGGAATTCAACCTTTTTCTCAAAATCCTTATATTTATTTCCGCGTTATATGGTAATTTGATGAAAACCTTTTCCTTAGGGGCGGTATAAATTGTAGGTTTAAAGACTAGTTGACTTCTACACCTGTTTAAAAATATTAAAGGTTATCCGTTTTCAACAAGATTATCCATCAATATTTTGTTTTCTTTGTCGATAACATCAGCCATGCAAATACGCTGAATCCTTTTAAACAGACATTTCACCAAGCCTATACTTTATTGTAATGGACATAAATGGTGAAAATTAAGGTATTGCCGTGTCTAAGTGGGCTTTCTGTAGATAGACTGTCTTATTGAGTCATCATCTCTACGACTCAGAAGTATGTCTAAGAATGCAAACTGGTTGCGACTTTCTTCCTTGCATGAAGGACAAATATAATTCTGTACAGAGTTACGTCTGTCTTACAGACGACTCGCATTTTCGTCGCATCTCAACTTACGTCAGGATAGCAACAGAGGTAATTACAGGTAAAGAATAATGACATTTAAATTAGGACTAAAAGTAAGCAAATAAACTGAATGACGTAACATAAATGACTAGAAATTGAGCGTTGGTCAAGTCAGTAACAGCGGTAATGAATAATAGAAATTATATCGCATGGGTCTAGAGAATAGGAAGGCTGAATTGTAAAATATTACAGTTGAAAAGACAAAATAATACTAATGAAGAGACAGAAATAGCATTCACCTGCCATGTGTTAACATAGATTACGTCCATTGCAAGTGTACTGACTGAACGAACTTCTTCTGTATTCAGAGTTCAGGATTTAGCATTTTGAAGAGTTTTGACTGGTACACTTTTAGGAAGACTGTTCCGCGCTCTATAGACGAAGTTGAACTTTGCTTGTGGTGTAGCTTGGTGTCCGGAATCTGTCGAATATTTTCAGGTAAAGCTGCGTATCATCGGTTTTCTCATTTTTTAAAACCTTGCTGGTAAGTGTTCGGTGATACGTTTGGAAAGCGAACGCTGCGTATGACCGACATATCTAGCTCCACACGAGTAGGTGAAGTGGTTGATACACATTGATGAGGTCATCAGTGGCAGCTTATCCTTCACGGTCATACGAATCATAGGTTTCGGAAGAAAGTTAATCCTAGTTCATCTGCGAAGTAGGTTTTCTTAAGTGAACGAGACAGTCGATTTTTCAATGTTTCAATGTCTTTTAGGCGCTCAGCTTGGGCGGCAAATATAATTTTTTACCTACGTACAGTTTTCTACTAGATTTTTGTGGGACTGTTATGCTGAATCTTAAGCAGGGTTCACATTACCTACTAAAGAAACTGTTGACACTCTGACTGTATGAGGTAGTTATGCGTTAGTAGGCTGAAATTGATGCTATGAGTAAGATCTGAAGATGAAATAATGAAACAGGATCTTGGCAGTATTTTTGAAAAAAATTGATTATTATTCTGGTACTATGCCAGCTGAGAAACACGTCTCGACTATTTAACAAGTTATCATATATTTTGCAATTAACATCACCTGGGTATCGCTCAACTTTCAATTGAATGAATGTGCGACATACTATTTTTCGTTTATCTTTGATTTTTAGTCTATTTCGATGAATAACACTCACTGTCTCACCAAAAGACGTCTCTCACATTTTCGTAATTCTTTATTTCATCTTGAAATATATTTCAGCTGAAAGCAAACAAAATAATTTGTACGTGAATGTTTATTTGTTTCCACAACTACTTAAGCAGATGATGTTCTCTCTGATAAATTCCTTTAAATTTTTATGATACATAAATTTATATGTCAACCTGAATAATAGTTATGATGGTGCATGGTTATGCCGCTACATACCAGCCACAAAGTTCATATATACAAATATACAAACAAACTGAGGGAGATGCCATGAGGTCACCAATATCCCAAGTTGTGGCAGATATATTCATCCATAGGTGGAAAAACTTAGCGAATGAGACGTTCAAGCCCACTCACTACAAACGTATAGTGGAGGTACGTAGATGACACGCTCACTGTAGTACTTGGAACACAGGATATAGATAGATTTTTCGAAGACATTAACTCAAAGGTGGAGGCATTTCAATTCACTAATGAATTGGAAGGTCAAGAAGGGGAGCTTCCAATGTTACATTGTAGAGTAAAAAGAAAAGAAGATAAGAAAATAAACACTAGCGTTTACAGGTAACCTACACGTTCAAACTGATATTTCGAATTTCGATGATCCCATCCTATGTCAGAAAAAATAGGATTGGTGAAATTTTTAAATGACCGAGCACAAAAACTAAGTAGTACCACAGAAAAATCTAAGATAGGAGGTGATACACATAAGCGATGCCCTGAAACTTAATAATTACCCTGATAAGTTAGTCAGAAAATATGTAAGGAAATGTAAAAATAAAAACAAAGTAAGTAATGATATTAGTGATAGTGATGATAGTAATAGTAATATTAATGACAACATGCATGTCAAACATGCGCAGGATATTGACAATACCAGCAATTAGGAATCTAAATCAACCGTAGTAATTCCATACAAAAAAGAAATTTTGAGAACCTTACACAGAATTCTTAGCAATATGTGGAGGAATAAGGGTGTCATTAAAACCCACAAACTCAATTGGAAACAAGCTTTGTCGGTTAAACAAGGGATACTATGGAGCCTTTAAAACAAAACACTTCAGTTTATCTAATACCCTAGCTGCAATGACTATCAGTGAGATCAAAAATACATAGGTCAAGTTAGTAGAACAGGTTCAGTGAGTCAGACTAGCCGAGCATAAAAACCCCAGCAGCAAAATCTAGATTGATTGACCCGAATAAGATTAGAAATGTAGAGGATAGTTCAGCTATACTACTCACTACATTCAATTCCACACAACCATGCAATACGTTGGGATGGGATAAGATGACAGTTTTAAAATCTAATGTCACAGGGTGGAGGGAGAGATTGATAACAGAAGCTTTGCTTATCGAATCAACTGCATACCAACATTTGAAATAGGAATGATTCAACACCTGCCTCAGATATCTTGAAATCCTATTACCTCAACAACGACAAATAGGAGTAGACAAACAAAACTATAAAACTCAAGTTTTGAAGTCGTGTGATTATAACTGATGATATGATTATGAACATTACATTTTGTTCGAAACTGTGTCATCCAGTAAATAACACTGTTTCACTCACTGTATGATACATCTAACAAATACTCTAATATGGAATTACTTACTAACAGATTGCCCAAGTTTTACACGTATATTAAGGTAGATATCCACATTTGACGTTCAAACATCAAAATTTAATGAATAAATGAAACTATCTCTACAACGTCTATATAATTATTTTTGCATATTTTGTGATAATAAATATTTTCACAATGACACTAATATAAATGTTTTATCATTATTCAGAGGTTTAAAGTTGCCTGACCCATGGAGGTGAGTGATATGACCATATATAATATTATGTAGGTGAGACAAGGTTTCGACTAATTGTAGTCAAATGTTACAGGTGATGATGTACTCAATTATTTATCGAGATTTCCACGGAAAATATATTTTCAATTTTCGTTCTCCACTCCAAATATTGTTATATCTCATATATAGAAAATGGTGGGAAATTTTAACGTAAGTTTTAAATTATTCAATCTTCTTTTACCTCTCACAAAAATGCAACAGTCAATCTTCTTCAAATCATGCATTCCAAATGCGATAAGACTCCATGACCTTTGAAGTATTATTAGCAGATTTGTCGTATTTATGCAATGCTTTAGTTATCTTCATAGCTCATCTCTTTTATGACTGGTGATTATTCTGCCAAAATAAGAATAATACAATAAATCCCTTTGTAAAAACACCTATTTATAAACTTAGCACAAGAAAGTGAATTTTAACAACAGATGAGTTATTAAAAACGGCAATTGCAGCGAAGAAAATTTTCTTTCCGACGATGTCATTAACTAGGCTCTACATTCGTGTATTTATAATAAATGGGTATGTGGGAAAGTTCTAGAATAATTTCCGCAAAAGGTTGAAATTATTAAAATTACAATTAGGAATCAAAATGCCATAATAAACAGGCGGAGGGGATGGATAAAACTCAAACAAAGTAACATCATATTCACTGAGAAGATTGACATATTGTGCAATCAACCAGATGTTCTGTTGCTGAGCTATATACACGTTTGTCGATCTTCTTTTACTAGACGGGCTGGATAGTGTCCACGAGCGCATTTTTCAATTTGGTGCATGGTACGGTAGATCGAGGCAGCTTGTCCTTCGCGTTCTGGCTGAACAGGTTTTTGCAGGAAAACATCAATCGTAGGCTAGCATTGAAGTATGTTTTCCTCAAAGATTTTGAGAAGTGTTTGCAAAGGATTTCTGCTTCAGTGTCACCTTTGAATTCTAGATTAATCAGAAGTATTTTCTTTTAGGCGGATTGGACTTGATTAGAAGTCTTCTTTGCTTTGAAATTCTTGTCTATGAACTTTGGCGGAAAACCCTTTTAAATTAGGGTCCTTCGGAGATTACATAGTTCGTCATCAATCACTTTCCCCCTACATATCTTCCGAATCCACAAGGAAAGAGCGTATATCAGGTTCTTCTTTCTGCTTAGGGGCACGAAGCTTTGAAAGTTGATGAATTGTGCGTTCTATGTAGGCTTTTGGATATGGACCTTTCCGAGAGTTGTTGACGTTTCTTGTCAGATAGACGTAGAGGAAGTGGAACATTCCGTCTGATTCAGCCTCAAGAGAAAAGTTGACGTCATTGAAGATTTGAAGTAGGTTTTTTCAAATCACAATTCTCATCACAAATAATGAAAGTATCATCGATACATCTCTTATAGAGATAGAGATCATCAATAGTTGATGATAAGTTGTTTTCTCACCTGGCCATAAAAGCATTCGGCCAGGAGAGGTCCAAGGAGAGAATCCATCGCTACTCCACCTACTTACCCGTGTATTTCATTGTTGAAAATTAAGTGTATACGTTGAAGGTGCATCTTAGTAACAGTTCTTTTAGGTAATGGATCGTTTTACAGATATCTATCTGTTTATTATGGCATTTTAATTCCTAATTGTAGTTTCATTAATTTGACCCGGGACCACCCACCCATTTATCATAAATACATGAATGTACAGCCTAGTTGATGATTTGGTCGAAAAGAAAAGTTTCTTCACTGCAACCATCTTTTTAATAATTCCTATGATTCAACAATAAAAGAACCAAATGTGCTACCATCATTTTTTCGAAATCAAAATCGATTTCATTGTCTAGTGCTTCTTTGATTCTCAGTGTCTTCGGAAAAATAGTATCTTGGCAGCTAGCCTATCAGATACTCTCGGTAAAGGGAAATATTCAAAGATACTTGAAGAAAGAAATCGGGTAATCGCGACACACGATGAAATCATGTTACATAATGAAAAAACATGAATAGATGGATACCACTCCAAACTATTTATCAAGCAGACAAGTGTTGAATTAAAGCAACGTCTCTTATAAGAGCTTTCAAAAATAATACATTTAAAGAAGGAACACGCATACAACGATTGTCCTTAGAATCGGAAAATCGGATAATTCCATCATAATAAGTCCCACTGTGTCGGTTATACCTCCTGTATAAATAACATCATGAAGAAAGCGATGTACATGTGCTTGAAGAAACTAATGTTTCAACATTTTCAAAACAAAACTGTTCGAAAGAACTAGACCATCTGAATCAACATTTCTATTGAATTGACTTCAAATTATTTCACACTCTAATTATAGTTAGCTGTTTTGATACACCTTTGTGACCGATAATCCGTGAAGTTTACTACGCCTTAAAATATTTCACTAATCACTGTAAAATAAAATTGGCTGAGAGCATACAGCTTTACAAGAATTGTGCAATTGATTCTACATTATTTTATTTTTCTTCTTAGGAGGTTTTTCCAGACTGTGTGGTAAGTTACTTAGAAATCAGAAAGATTGAGCGAAGAAATATTTACTTGTCAATTAGATCCTCATACCTGGCTCTACTCTAATATACACGTATAGCATTTTTATTACCAATCAAGTCGCACTGATATGTCTGTTAACAGTAATTAGTCAGTGTTAAAATGTCAACGGGCTAATAATTAACGAAGAAAATCCATACAAATAACTGAAAGGTAGAAATTAGTAAATTAGTTTTACGAGGACAACACGTAATCAAAGATGAAGTGGACAAAATAAATGAAAAATAAAATAAATAATTTAGACAATTATAATTTTTATAGGTTTCGGGAGTGGGGGACGACGTCGTCCTGTTTATGCATTCTTGAGACGATGGACACGGTGGGGAAAAATGCTGTACAAATTTCTTCTCAACACACAAAGAATTTGGCTTCTTCACGTGGATTCATATTGCTTCAGTTGTCTGTAGAAGACAAACTCGCAGAGCAAAATTAAGATTAGAAGGAATTCGGTAAATAATTTTAAATGCAGTATTAACATCAACCTTATGCTCACTATCTACAAAATTTGCTAAAACAGAGCTCCGAATAGATCTCGTTTGTCCTCCCCTGCTTAACCATGTTGGATGATGTTCGGAAATACGATGATGAACTTGCCTAATTGTGCGCCCAAAGTAGCTGGCTCCACAGCTGCAGTCAAACTGTTAGATACACATGGAAGAGGAAAATTTAGGTAGTTAATCCTTTTTTTCTCAAACGTAGAATAGGGGTGGTAGTGAAGAGACGATGTACCTCTTCTGCATAATAAGCTCTTTTAACTGCATTCTTCAGGCGCTGTGTTATTACTTCGCTGATGTTGTCACTGAGGAAATGCAGTTTCATGAACATTGGTTTTTTCGGAACTGTAGCCATACTGACTCTCATAGGTGCTGAATTCATATTTTTCTCAATGAATTTATTTGGATAACCATTTTTTCTTAGTAATTCTCTAATAATCTTAAGCTCCTCATTAAGGTAGTCGTCTCAAGAGATTAGCTTGGCTCTATGAACCAGACATTTTAACAGGTTACGCGTTTATATTTCAAAGGTACAAAACTAAAAAAATGAAGTTTATTGCTGAATGTGCATCATTAGAAATCCTTTACCTGTGTCATGACTTACTCACGGGGATATCTGATATTTTGTTTACTGAAGTCTTTTTTGAATAATTGTCAAACTAACTGATTTCTTATCTTATTCACAATATATTGTGAAATTTACCTGTCACAGAATAATGTATGCCGCCCTTTATATTGTGACAAGTCAACGTTGTTCACATCTTATTACATAATAATAACAATTTCAAACTTCAGTACTCTCAATACATTTTGGTAAGTGAAGCATTGTTTGTTACATGATATGCATATACTACTGCTTCTCGGCTTTCTGAGCTAAAATTGCGTCGGTGGTATAGCGGTTAGGGCGCTCGCCGACCATGCACATGACCCGGGGTTCGATCCCTGGCCAACGCACTCCTTAGCCTCTCTAAGCCAGAAATAATGCTGGTAAAGAGTAAAGGTTGGGCATGAGGCCAGTAACCCCATCTCGTAAAATAAATGCTGCTACCGAAACTTCAAGCCACAAGCTTGAAGCCCTATGTTCCAGTGGGGGACGTGAAGGAAAAAAAACAAAAAACTACAAAAATGCAAACCAAAAGGTAGTTAATGGTACTTACTTCAATTCGGCTATCTCCTACGGGAGGATGAGCCGGCTTCATGAAAAAGAGAGTTTAATAAGTTTCATGGGAATTTGGTACGAGTGATGTCCCCAGCATTGCTCGGCCTTTTGTTTGAGAGTGCAGCTCTAGCCTTTACACAACCAAGTGTGACCTACAAGGCAGTAGGAGTGGAGTAAGGAGTCCACTATCCATTGGCAGCCGGTGACCGGAGTTCGGTTCATACGCCTTTTTGAATGGGACCAGACATCCAGGACATCCAACAAGCCCTTTGTCCATACGTCTGCCGGTGAGCTCCAGTGAGCTTCATACGCCAGTCGTTGGAGGTTTGGAATCAGGGTTTAGCCATCTCCCCTAGACTGTCATCCAATGCACAGTCAACCCGGTGAAGAGCGCCGGGCATCCGCTTTCGCCCTCTGACTTCGGTGAAAAAACACCTCCACCACGTGAAGGCAGTGAGTAGGACTTCCTAATGGTAAAAACTAATAATCGCTATCTCGGTGTTCCTTAATGTATATCACGTAATAAAAGTGAGCATATTGTTCTTTTGTATAACTCGTTATTGAATTTGTTTCATAAGCACCATAACTGTTCAATGCAATACTTGGCTACCACTTATATGATGGCATGTTCACAAGAATCATGGAGACTCATATATTCAGCAATGATTTTGACTCAGCATAATTTATAAAAGACGAAATGTCTGAGCATAGAATATCCCTTCCGATAATTTCCAATTCTAGCTGCACAATTATATACTATCGACTTTTTAAGTAAGATCACAATACAATCACAGTTCATTAAAGATGCTTAAATGATAATGATAATAATAAAAATATAATAGCAAATACAATATCAAATAAAATTAAGGAATCTTCTACAAAATACTGAGGATCATTTGAACCTTCATAGCCAAGTTGACGACAATGTCTGAACCAACTAGCTTCTTTTGTACACATAAGACAGGCTTCTTAATGTGGATCACAACAGCCAACCTCAGCAATATTTAGTAGGTGAACTCTTAAGGTGAAGTCAAAATTTGTTGGTATGTGGTAAATGACTTTGAAAGCCGCCTCGTTCAGATCAATCTTGTGTGTGGATTTTCTTTGCCCTCTTCTTAAACCAACCACACGGAATGGTGTTCAAAAATCTGACGAGAAACACGCCTAACTGTATGGCCTATTTAACTGACTCTACATGGAATAAAATCCATTAATTATGGGAATTCGGAATCCCTGTTACATTTTAAGTGTACTGATAATTTGGCTTCGTAAAACTGTTAACAGCTAATTAAGTAACCCGGTAATTCTTACAAGCTGAATATAAAGGGTATATTTGTTAATAAGGTGTTTTTCCTCAAACTGGAGGATTTAGCCTTCAACTTTTACTGATATAATGAGCCATTCAAGATAGTTATTTTGAACGGGAATAAGAAAGTTTGAGTAGAACAAATATAAGATTGAACGTTTGCTAAGGACATAGTTGCCAACCTTTATGAGAACAATTATGTTCCCAGTTTCTCAGTATAACTCATGCGATACAGGAAATAATCCGTGGTATTTAATCCATTTCGATTTTAACTTGCATTTATCATTGTATAACATGTGAGGCACTTCATGTGTAGTAGTTTTATTACCTTAAATTTCATGGTGAGCCTCATGTGACATTTTCACACTTCTAAGTGCGTGTTAAAAATGTCCCAAAGAAAAGTCGGAGTTCAGTTGGTGGATTGTGACTAGCAGCTTCTCACCATATTTGGGAGTCTCCAGCTGGCTATACCTGCACTCCCCAGTGAGTGATGGTGTTCCCACCGAGGCTCTACACCAGTGACCACAGTTTCAAACGCCAAAGCGTTATCCACTAGACTACTTGGGCTACAAAGGCCGCCTCTAATGCAATGGATCTTGATAATTATTTAATTTAGTTTTAGATTTCTCTGTCGACTGACTGGGCACTTGGTTCAAGTCTAGGTTGGAAAACCGTCATTCACTACGGAATGCAGCTACCTCTAGCTGACGATTCCAAAATATGACAAGACGCGTATCCTGGATTCCACTGCTCGCCACCATCCACCAACTGACTTCAGATTACATGTCACAACATCGTCGAATCATCTGCACAAGGAGCCTATATATCAACCTGAGACCAAGCACTTCAGTCCATTCAATCGATGAAATATCCAAAAAAGTGAATTTAAAAAGTCAAAGTTCATTAAATATAATAATAATGATAATGTCAATCGACAAACAAAGAAATCAGAGTTTAGTTATGTTTGCTTTGAAACGTGACCGTAATTTATGAAGAAATGAGTGGAGCTCAACTGGTGATAAAAAAGGAATATATATATATGTATATACATATATGGTAATCATAAGAAATTACTGAAATTATCTATCAGAATGTCTCTTACATTCCCATACTCATTAGAGGTTCAGAACTCTATTCAATTATAGAAAAGAAAAAGTGTTCAGCAAAGAGTTACTCTTTTCGGCGATATCATTCTCAAGCTGTACAAATCGCAAATTTATAGTAATTTGTCTTGGCAACAAAAGGAATATTTCCAAAGATGTGTTAATGCAATTGTTAGTTTTTGACAAACAGATTACGTAATTTTGAAGGCGTTAATCGGTTAGAAACTAAAATAAAGTTACAAAAGTAGGTTGGGTGACGTAATCTAATTGGTAGGGTTCAATGAAAAAATGAATGAGAGTCAAGTTAATAATCTGAGTAGAATTCACTTGAAAATGAATGAGAGTTAAGTTAATAAGCTGAGTAGAATTCACTTAAAAATAAATGAAAATCGAGTTAGCAACAGTCATCATGAGCGTAGAGATTTAATAGAGGGTGGGGGTAGAAAATAATGCAATTAAGAAATAGACAAACAAAGAAGAAAGAGGTAAGACAAAATTACGTATTTGGTGTTAAGATAGATCAGGACCATTGTAGATCTAGTGACTGGACAAACGTCTTTTGTATGCAGAGTTCAGGATTCAATATGTGAATTGCCATTGCTTCTGCAGTTTGAAGAAGTTTAATTCGTACTCTTTTGGCAAGATTTCCACGTATTGTGTAGATAACTGAGAAGTTGTTTTGTGGGTTTGCTTGGTGTCCGGATTCGATCAAGTGTTCTAGGATAGAGCTGTGGCGGAGGGATCTTCTTTCTCCTTTATAAAACCATGAAGGTAAGTGTTCGCTGATTCGTTTGGATAGCAAACGCTGGGTACGGCCGACATACCTAGCTCCACATGAGCAGGTGAATTGGTAGATGCACATTGATGAGGCCCCCAGTGGAAGCTTATCCTTCACGTTCGTGCGAATCATTGGTTTTGTAGAGAAAGTTAGTCTGAGTTCCGCTGCGAAGAAGGTTTTCTTCAGTGAACGGCACAGACGGTTTCTAAGTATTTCTGCTGAAGAATCTCCGTTGAATTGTAGATTCAAATAGAGAAGTTTCTTGGGAGCAGTAAGCATGGATGGTTTTTGTGTTTTCGGCTTCATAGCTATTCAATTATCCAATTTGATTTCACCGATCCCCAGTTTCGCCTTTGTGATTAAAATTCATCTCTGTTCGTATACCTCATAGTAATTGTTATACCTTCAAGGCTCCCCAACTCTTCTATTTTATGTTTTGTTTGTAATTAACACTCCTTAATTTTTTTTAGGGATTTATTCGGTGGCAAATTTTTTACATCAGCTGGAACTCGATAAACGTCGCACACATCAAAAAAGGCACACGCCTTAATAAACAATTTTTTTCTAACATTTGAATTCAATGTCATTTATAGATTATACTAAAACATATCAGTTGCTTTTCATGTGAACTTTAAATGTAACTCTGAATACAGAATATATTTTCATTTAAACAGCATAAACTTATTACAAAATCTCATTGGAGTAATATTATCGTATCATTTATCATGTTTTATATTGAATAAAATCATCCCATAAAGGATTTATATCATTCATATAAAACAATTAGTCGCTTTTATAAATTTCGATAGCGTTATTAGAAGACGGAGATTATCTAGAAAGCAATGTGATGTGATGAATTCGCGCTAAACATTTCGAACAATCAAATTACACATTTACTTTCCAAGTATTGGTTTTGTGGGGATTTTGCATGGAAGATTTCACCATGAGCTGACATTAGGTAGAGAACCACTGGAGAACCAGGAAAAACTGGACAGCTATTTCGTCAGCCTAGTGTGGGACTCCTCAGCAGTATGCACTCACCGGGGTTCGAACTCAAGGCCTTCTGGTTACAAGGCGAGCTCGTATACCATCAAGACACTGGAACCCGATCCAATGGCTCCCTGTGAATTCTAACTTCTGCCAGTTCACAACATAGCGCGACCACTTCGCAATGTCTTCTTCGATGAGTTACTCCCTCATCTTCGTCCTCCTGTACCCTACACGTCAAGGCTTCCCACTAGAACCCCAGGTTAACTGCCTGAATAGGGCCAGTCACTAGTGAGCATCAGATTAATTTTCAAGTATTGGTTTTGTAGGGATTTTGTTTGATTGAATGGAGGATTTAATCATGAGCTGACATCAGTTAGAGAACCACTGGAAAACCTGGGAGTACTGGACAGCCGTTTCGTCCTAGTTTGGGACTCCTCAGCAGTACGCACCCACTGGGATTCGAACCCAGGACCTTCTGGTTACAAGGCGAGCTCGTAGACCATTGAGCCACTGGGACCCGATCCAATGGTCCTTGAATTCTAACTTCTGCCAGTTCACAACATAGCGCGACCACTTCGCAATGTCTTCTTCGATGAGTTACTCCCTCATCTTCGACCTCCTGTACCCTACACGTCAAGGCTTCCCACTAGAACCCCAGGTTAACTGCCTGAATAGGGCCAGTCACTAGTGAGCATCAGATTAATTTTCAAGTATTGGTTTTGTAGGGATTTTGTTTGATTGAATGGAGGATTTCACCTGTCCAGTACTCCCTGGTTTTCCAGTGATTCTCTACCTGATGTCAGCTCATGGTGAAATCCTCCACACATTTACTTGTCAAGTCAATATATATGGAAAAGTTAAAATAAACGAAGTGACGAAAAAAGGATTTAAGAATGATTAACACAACGTTTGGTAATCCAATCAAATACGGATTACCTCAAAAGTGCATAAGTGATTATGTTATATACCACACTATTTACCAATTTTCGTGTATGTGTTGTGTGATCACACATAATTAATAACTGTAATAATAATATTTATAATAATAGGCAAAGTAAAAAGAAAAAACCAAGAGGGTTAAGGGGAAGGATCACTCTTGGTGAGAAGAAAAATCTTCAATCCAACGTTGACCACGATAGGAACAGCGTCTGGACGTGTTCTTTTTGGATACAAAGTTCCGGTTTAGTCGATCCCTCAATTCTGTCGAATTTTCCATTTATACTATCCGGATTTAATATTAGTGATATTATCTGTTTTCTCAATATATGCCTCCACCTGCTTCACTCAACATATTCGTTATCTCATCATGAACCTCTCGTTGCAGTCTTACTATCTCCTGTTTAACTGAGACCACTCTGTAGTAGCCACCCAACTGTTGCCTTTTATAACCTTGAATTGACTTGTCAATTTTCCTACCCCACACTCTACAAATCTATTATGACGACTAATTACTACCATTGTCTCCCGTTTTACAATATTTTGGCAATCGATTTCAGCCCATAGCACGTTTGTCACACAGATACGACAATTCATTTTGACACCCCATAACTAATCTGTTATTCTGCGTTGACAAATGTATCCGCTGCATAACTGGCTATCATTATTGTAACGGCAAACAATATTATATTTTATAATTGTAAGAACCTGAAGAGGAGAATTTATTGAAAAGAATATCCTTCGTTCAGATTAACTTTTATTGAAATACGCCGAGGCTATAGCTATTCATAAACTGAAGTCCCCCTCCCTGTGTATTCAAAGACAGTTTATTATTAGTCTTAACCTACCTTGGTAATCGTTATTTGGTTGGATTACCAAAAGTTGGGTTAATCAATCTTGAATCTTTTGTTTTTGTCACTTTGTTTATTTTAACTTTTCCATATATATTGACTTGACAAGTAAATGTGTGTGAACAGATTGTTCGAAATGTATAGCGCAAATACATCACATCACATTGCTTTCCAGATAATCTCCGTCTTATAATAACGCTATCGAAATTTATATCATTCATATAAGTAAAGAACTTGTGCAGTGTGTTTGAGTATAATTCCATTGTGAATATAGATTATTTTGAAAAAGTCTGAGAGTGTTATACAGTAATATTAACTGATGACCACAGTTTATTGCTTCTCATAATCATATCCAGGCACTACTCACATCACTTTCTTACTTCATTTATATACATGAGTAAAATTAATTAAACATATGAATTTTGTACAATTTTGTTTGTAAGGGTTGGTTATGTTTTTACGAGTTGATCACCGATTGATATCAGTTAGTGGTATGTACTCGTCGCCAAATTATTGTTATGTACTGGTCGAGAATTTAATAGTCCTGACGCAAGAAAGACGGAAATCAGAAGACCACTAGGTTTGCGATGATACTTCTATTTTCCAAACCACAAGGAGAATCAATATCACACAAGTGTGTGAGAGCTAAATATGAATGTCCGAACAAGTGTGTGAAACAAGTGTGTGAGCGAATATTCAAAATGAACAAATCAATAGACAGTCTTAACATGATTGACTAATTATAATGGAATATCGATCCATATATAAATAGCGAAATATAACAGACTGTCAAACAAAACACATATATTATACGGATATATATCACCAAGAACAGTCTGTCAAACAAAACACACATATTATACGGATATATATCAGTTAGAGAACCATTGAAAACCAGGGAGTAATGGACAGCTGCTGTTTCATCCCAGTTTGGGAATCATCGGCAGTATGCACCCACTGGATGTCCCACCAACGACAATGGTTTGGGTCGCGCTATATCACGAATTGGTAGAAGTTAGAATTCATGAGCCATTGAATCGGGTCTCAGTGGCTGAATGGTATACGAGCTAGCTTTCCTTGTAACCGGAATGTCCTGGGTTTGAATTCCACAGTGTGAGTACGTACTGCTGATGATTCCCAAACCCGGCTGATGAAACAGGTGTGCAGTACTCCCTGTTGATTCTCAATGGTTCTCTAACTGATATTAATCCATGATCAACTCGTAAAAAAACAAACATATGAAGAAATCAATATTAGACATGCGTGAAACAGAAAGGAAGACCAAGTACATTCCGAAACACTTTTAGTGTTATCAATACATATAATAGGATGAGAATTAAAACGAGTAATTTCGGTCCAAAGATATATTGAAGATATGTGGATGACATTTGCACAGTGTTAAAAACAGCACATATCTCTCTCCAACTTTTACACACATATATAAACTCACTAGTAAAGGCAATAAAACTCACATCTGAATCAGAAAATGAACAAGGAGAATAAGTTAGATTTTAAAATAAAACGAACTAAAGAAGGTAGACTGGACACAAGCGCTCATAAAAAGCCAACGCATTCTAATATCGGCTATTTAGATTTCAATTCATCTAATCTGTCATCTGTCTGTGGATACAGACTTAGTTTAGTGTCTAACACACCGAGCAGTAGCACTGGGTAGTACAGAGAAACCACAACGATGAAATGAAACAAATAGAAGAGAAGGTGTTGATGTTAAATAACTATCCTATAAAATTCACAAAGAAGATCAGAAACGGTCAAAAGCAAAATAAAAATAATGGAGAAACTCATCATAAAAACATGATTAAGAGAGAATATAAGGCATCTACAGTAGTTACACCATATAAGGAGGGGACATCTGGCACCCTGTGTAGGATTTCCAATAAAGCAGGATTTAGAGCGGCATTTAAATCTGCAAATTCATTCACCGACAAGCTCTGTAGGTTAAGGCTCTTTGTAGGCTGACCTGATTAGACAAAACAAAATAATTTACAAAATACCTTGTAATGATTGTATGTGAGGTCAACTACAAAGATCAAAATAGTAGATCGAGTGTATTCAGGTTGTCTATCAGCACATAAGAAGTAAGCGGAGTTTAGAATGATTGATCCTGCGAAGATAGGTGATTTAGAAAATGATCAGGAATTGTGCTGCACACATTAACACACAATCACACAATAGGGTGATGAGAGAGGGCTAAAATTCTTCGACGTCATAAAGATAGGCGAAGAGAGATTAATTACTGAATCGTTGTTCATCGAGTCTACACCCAACACATTCAACAGAAGTGACTCAACTCAAAAACCAGCGGTATAGAAGATATTATTACCAGTCATATCAGAGGGTGATAAATAATTGAATTATATAAACGAAGTAAGAAAGTTGTGTGAGTAGTACGTTGATATGATTATGAGCAGTAACAAATTGTGCTCGAAATGTGGTCATCAGTAAATGTTACTGTATAACACTTTGAGACCTTAACAAAATAAATTTCACTCACATTTAAATTATATATCTTCAGTCTATCCAAATTTGACTTCCAGTTTAACAATCGAACAAAGTGTACACGAACTGACGTGACAACATGTAACCCGACATAGAAGATAGAATAACATAAGACACAGGATGAGACCAACACGTCATTGTGTAATTCAGAAATGCTTGCGGAATGACTCATATTGACAGATGCACCTTTCTTTTAAAAGATATATGAACAAATATGTGATCCGTTAGCTTATTGAAAGATCTTTTGCCCATGGGCTGTTGTGCTTCTGTCACCAGTGTATTGTAAAAGAACCTTCTCTGTTTCTACCATTCTCCTTCATTTTTTTATTCAGTGTGTCCTATACTGAACTCAGTTTCTGTTTTCGTTATCCATCTTCGCACTCGCATATCTTCTATCTCAATGCCCCCTACAGTATGTTGGCCTCTTCTTCTTTCCGATGACGTCTACATATCATTTTCAAA